AATTACCTCTCCATTTAATTTTTTTCGAGCTGCGTACGCCCTTGCACCAAAAACTTTTCCGAATAATTCTCGTCTTAAGAACAGTCTGATCAACTATTTAGAAACTCGACAGTAGAAAGGTTTTTACTAGTACCCGTGGTTCATTCAAATCTGTAAGGCCCGTAAATTTTTCTTTGTCAAGAAATTGGACAAGAAAATATTGGACAGCTTCGCTGTAAAGATTTGTAAAAATATTTTTTACAAATCTTTGACAAGAACAAGCGCACCAATCACAAAACAAAGATGATCACAAACATATGGCATGTCATCATTTCTGACATGAGTCTGTTGTCATGCCGTATAGAAATCATTGTTATCTGCAGTGTTTTGTCGTTCTGTGGCTGACTGTTGACAGTAGAAATCCGGATGGGTTGGGGTCTGATTGGAGAAGGTTTGATTTATCAATTATGAATTATGTTATTAAACATTCTCTTTCAACTGTTAATTTCATGTAATCTATCTTTTGAAACTTTTTTAGCTGGAAATTATTGCAAGCAAATATTCATACAAGTTATGCTTTGTAGACATAACCTCTTTTTGTTAATAGAACGAAACCGGAAGCGTGGTTATCATTCGCGCATTTTTACATCCAATTTGTTGCGAAATTTAGAATAATATATATAAGTATGCTGAGAGAAATTGGATGTAATTTGTAAATTGTATAATAAATATGAAAAATTTGACCCAGACATACGGGCTTAAGGCCCATTTACCATATACAGTAGCAGTTCTCATGAGCTTCTTAATCCCCCCAACCTTTTCTATTAGCAGTCAAGTGTGAGGGTCTAGGTACCTCCAAGTAAAACATACTGAGGAGTGCCCAGGTTTGAACTAGAAAAAATTGCATTCCAGTTCACTTTGAAGAACTATCCATTGATGGCGCCAAAAATGGATATCACAAATTATAATACATACTCTAAAAAAACAAGCACTGACTCCGCTAAACTGATGATGTCTGGGGGATCAAGAAGCTGTCGAAAGATACAACCGAATATAATAATGAGTCTAAAATTTTTGAATGAAGTATACGACAGCACCGATTAGCACATTGCACACTTCACTCTCAGAGTCATAAATGACCACTGAGCACGCTAGAAACATTAAAAATATTATATGATTGTTAGATCTAACATCTGAAAAACAAGTAACGCGCTTTGATTGCGTGTGAATGAAATTGTGCATAAAAACTATCACCAAACCGTATATCATAAGCATCGTACAGCTGTTTCTTTTCTTTTGGTTTACAAAGTATACCCGTATCTCTTTTTTGTACTAAATAGTTAAGCGTAGTAAACAGTAATTGTAACTGTATCCTGATTATGATTTATGTTGATTATGATAGTGCAGCAGTTGTAAGGATTTTTTCGTGTTAATACCTCTCCGTTTTTCCTGAACATACATAAGTTAGAAAAAACATTGTATATATGAATAAATGTATGTAGTAAAATCGGCAAAAAGCATGTAGGAAAGCAGTATTATTCCAAACATTCAGTTCAAGCCTAGAGAAGAAATCGGTCTAGCTAAAGCGATATAGACAGCATTTCACAAAGCAAGAAGCAAATACTGACATCTTTCTTTCAAATCAAAATCGTGATTTGAAAAACGGTGGATGCGGAACATAGAATAATGTCCTCCTTAGTCATGTGATGATAGTACGCTACTAATCCCTATTTCCATACTAATCCATACCGATGATATTATAAATGAAAAATTTTGGAAGTTTGTTACTCAATCACGTCAAAATGACTGAACAGATCTGGATGGAAGGTACAAAGATATCATAGTCTGGAATAACACATGGGCACATTTGACATGTCGGAAGCGTCCAGTTTCGGGTCCGACCGAAGTGAATTAGAAAATGCAGATAAATAGGGCATTTGCACCGTGCATTTACTGAATTTCGACTTTCGTTTCTTAAGCGTGATCGTTTTGATTTAGAATTGTTTGGTATTTTGTTTTACTTCAAGAATATTACTGCGAATAAATAGTTATTGTGTTAGGATATGTTACGATATGCAACACATGCTGTGAGATACTTCGCGTATTATTTACTGTGAATCTGAGTACACATATGATATCAATTTATTGTTGCATTAAAATGTTGAATAAAAAATATCCATCGACAAAATAACTATTGCATCACTCTGAATATTGCATTTATTTTTCCGACACTAATCTCACACTAATGCAAAACGAATGACCTATACTTTACACTACTTCCACGCATTCGCAGCCACAGGCTTAGGCTAAAACATACTTATTCAATATGACACCAACACCATGGAAGACGCACTTTCTTGGGAAAATGACTGAACAGAGGTACCAATCATTCAGAAGATGAGTTTGCCAAGATCGACGAAAGGTCGGTTTTGTAAGTTCCTGATATTTGGTAGACTAGTGCATGGAAATGTTTGATTTCTACTGACTGTGGGTTAAATTAACACGTGTCTAGGCAAAGGTCGAAACACACATGCATGGATAGAGCAAGAAGATACGCTGCGAAGGGTACGCATAAATAAAAGGTACGAAAACTGCTTATAAGCATTGATTAACGTCTTGTATCTGAGGGTAGCTAACCTAATGCTATATTCCCGCATCCAAAGAATCATCCGGGATAAAATGATATATTTACTATAGAATTTAGCGTCCCATAAATGCTCGAACATCTTCATATAGTCAGCTACAACACCATTTATGGGACTCTAACCGTTTCAAGGTATAATAGTGAATAGAGCAACAGCTGTGACAAATTCTCATAGATGAAGTTACGGTATCTCATTTTATTTCATATAATTTTTGTGGACGCTAGATACTAGCATTAAGTTGGCTACCTACGTTAGTCAATGCTTTAAACGAATACCAAATTGCAAGAGAGTCTTACGCAACTGCTAACGCGGTGAGCGGATATCATCGTGCACAGCAATAGCACAATTGCGTACGATCCGCTACGCTATTTTCTTCCATTTTGGTACTTTCGATTTGCAAAAAGAATATGTACATTTCTACAATTCCTAGAACAAGTAAGGCTGGTTGCTAGCAGTAGAGCACGCAAAGCTAACGTTTGAATGGGTAAAATGTAACTGAAAGATTTATCGCGATATCTGATAAAAAATATAGGCTTAGACATATCATTCACATATAGACCGTAATTTTAATGCGTTATTTAGTTTTCATTGTACGATTCAGGGCCATTGCACATATACCTGCAAGGCGAGGCAAGAAGGACATCTTACAGACTACATCATGTGGCAAATGGTATAATGGACAATATCACTATGGAGGAGACGGACATGCTGGTGAACTTACTAAACCACCCCAGTCTGGGAACGCCTTCTGATATAATGCCAAAGATAACAAAATATGCTAAACACTACTCAGTGACAGTTCCACACAGGAATGATTGGGAACAGCAAGTTAGACTGATAATGAAAGTTATCTGTGCATATACAGATGGCTACAAGACCGAGATAGGTATTGGAGCTGGTATCTTCGTGCCGAAGCTAAAGATTAAAAAATCTGTTAGCCTAGGAACCTGGGCATCGATTTTCCAGGCAGAGTTGTATGCTATAGTACTGGGTGCCAAAATTATCGCAGAAGGACAACTGAGACACAGAACTATAGTTATTTTCAGAGACGTACTTCTCCAAGCAGAAGACCTGAACGATATTTCTGCAAACAAGTTTATCGACTTCCTCAGGAGGTCGGAGCTACTGGGGGAAATATAAATAGGTGTTAGCCATAATAGACCAAGGAGTCGCAGTGGAGGATCGTTATTGATGCACTCACAAGAAACCTAACCTAACCTAAACTAACGATTCAAGAATCAATGAGAAAGGTATCTACGCGTGAAGTTAGCTGATATTTTTGAACGGTCTCAGTGAACGTTAGCTTTTCGTGTTCGACAATAAACAATACTTTCAAAGACATCGAGAAGCATCATCTACCACTAGAATCGACCACTACGAACAATGGCAAGTAGACCACATCTACTACACAGCTAGAATCATCGCCATCTACTGGTCACGTGCTAACTGCGTCTCCAATTTGCGGACTGAGGTTTATACAGACCCAACCGGTAGGGTCCGAATCACTGTTCGCAGTGGTCCATTCTACTGAGGGTAGATGGCGCTTTGCGCTGTCTTAGTTCGGTAGATGTCACACTTCTGATATTGTATGGTTGCTATGCTTTCGTTCGTTGTCTGAGGCATCAAGCGAATACCATGGTGATGAGTCGCCAAAAAGCACGAATTAGCTATCTATGGTTAGCTGTCAGACAAAAGCACGATGTTCAAACAATATTTTACGGACGGTCGTGTTATCATTTTTATTAAATTGGACGAGACTAGCGTAGCTTATCCTACACTATTGATCTATCTGTTGTCGCTATGTACGATTAATAGTAGCATAGGATGGGTTTTGCTACTTTCCTCCTATTTGGTACTTTGACGACAGAGAATTTGTATCTGTTTACATTTTTTGTTATGTATTCGAGAGGGTCATATAGATGCCTTAAAAGACTCGAGAGCCTAGGAATGAGAAGGTTTGAGACTCAAAGCAGAAATAAAAGTTTTCACTAGTTTCGTTCAGTTAGTAGTAAAAGCGTCAACCAATTACGACTAAATCAATCAACTAAATAATTGGCAAATCTGCTTAAGGTGGCTGCGACGAGTGCAGGATGGGGGCAGGCTCCTTACGGTGCCCAGGCAAGGTATATTAATTTTGGACTACACACATATACGTTCGGGCTATTTACTTTGAATTCGCTACGGTTGCTGTCGACCTTTGCATTATTTTGATCTGTATTATAAAAATTCTATTCAATAAGTGTGTCGGTATCGTAAAGACGCAAAAAGTGTAAACGGACACAACATCTCTGACGTCTACTATGTTACAATGCAATTAGTCCAATTAGAAAACAACTATACAACATGAAGAAATAAAAGAAAAGCTGCTCAACTTACATGTTTCCCCCGACCCTTCCCAGCCATTTTCTTCTTGGTCAAGCTAGGTGCACACTGCCCTACATGCCTGGTCTCCACCACGACGCCTTTACGGCACGCCGCTTGCTGCATATGGCACCATGAGGCGTACGTGATGCGGTCGGTGCCACAGACGGTGCCACCGGCGAGACCTCGCCAGTGGCGCGCGCGACACGCGGCAGGGGTGCACTGGGCGCAACGGGGCGCACCCGCGCGCGTAGGGTCTCGCAGGCAGCGCTCACCAGGCCGACAGCGGATCGTGCTGCAGGTCGCGTTGGCTGAAACAAGGGAGAGTGCAGTTGATACCCAACAGTGTTGACAGGGAAAATTCCAATGGGTCTTGTTGCCTTCTGTGTTTTGCGACCGCTGCACTTATGATCACTTCTACTACTATTGACTATGTATCGGATGTGCTCATCCTAACAAAGTTTTCAGTAAGCGATAGGTACCACTCTACTATTTGGTCGCTTGATACCACCGAACGCAAAACTTATTTGATAGTACCTTTGACTAAGATAACTTTATTGACAATGTATAGAAGGACTCGGCAATACAAGGTAGAAAATAGGTACCACCTTGACGGCTTCTTGATACCACCGTCCACGAACCATACATGACGACAATCAGATAGTACCTTATGTAAAGATAACATTGACGATGTATACATAGAAGGACTTGTCCTTACATAGTTCTTGATAGGCAATACGTACCACCATGGCAGCATCTTCAAACAGCCGTACGTTGATGGCACCTTTTGATAAGATTACCTTATTGACTCATCCTTACAGAGTTATTGGGAGGCAATAGGTACCACCTTGGCAGCTTCTTCATACCAGCGTACACACAACTTTTATGATAGTTGAGAAATGGTACCTTTGGCAGATATGGAATTATTTAACGATCATCTTCAGGAAGTTCTCGGTAAGTTAACGGTATTATCTCAGGACGTTCTTGAAACGATGATGAAATATTCAGGCTTAGAGTAGTATCAACGGAAGAAAGAAGCACTTACCTTTACAAGGTCCTCGATATACGATTGGTATCGCCCTACCGGCCGTGCACGCGGCAGATCGCAAATGGCACGCAGAAGGGTACGTCTTACCATCCACGGCGCACACCACCCTCTTGGTACCACCATCCGGGAAGTTCGGACATCGACGGAGGCAAGCGGCGCAGTGCGGCCTGAGATTCTGGTCCAGGAGACAGTGCTTGCCCATTGGACATTGGATCCTTGAACAAGATTCTGGAAGAAAGGAAAACGTTCAAGGTTTTGCTGGTTGTCGCAATTTATTCTTCATTCAAATAAAACAGAAAAATCCTAGTATAAATAGTTAATAGGGAAAATGCGATATTTTTATATTTGTTAAAATATTTAGAATTTATTTGAAGAACATGTCATTTCAAGTAAATGGTTTTTCACGAAAATGTGCCTATACTTATGATGACATCACTTCTACTGTCTGTCATCACATGTCTTATGGACATCAAGGGTGTTAACAGACATTTAAGATATATTTAATATTGCAGTGTCACTCGGTTAGTGGATTCGCTTTCGACCAAAATGTGTTTGTCAGGAATCTGATGAAACATTACATTACATCTTACAGTTTCGCATTTTTTTGTCCGAAATCGTTCAAATAGCGTTTGAGGTGATGTTGTGAATGCTGATGCGAATGTTGGACAACTAGTAAAAGTTAGCAGAAGAAGCCCTACATGTACAGCATAAGAGTCTCATAATAAACTAAAGCGAAATCTGTCGAAATAATATTCCGAACCCAGAGCGCTATTTTCTGTGGGAATGTTGCCGGATGATTGCTAAAAATGATAATATAGGTATATAATGGGGGCTTTATTCAGGAAAAGGTAGTGAAAAATGAACCTGAAACACCTTGTCAGAGACAGGAGTGGCGTCACTGGTGCTGATGTAGAGCCTGAAGTCCTTTCCGTTTCAAACAACGTCTAACTATATTTTATTGTGAGCGGCGGATAGGTGGGCCAAAATTTCGCACTGCCACAAGGGCCTCTCCAACAGTATTCTCGGTCCTTTGCACCCCCGCTGTCAGCTGTGCAGGAGCCCCATTAGGGCTTTGTGCGTCGGGCCCCAGAGATCTTAATCTGTCGTTGTTTATTGTTTAGAATTATTGTTAGACTAAATCATTCCAGCGACCCTTTTTTCTCATTTTTAACTGCATTTTTTCACAAATATTATTTTTGTGTGTCCCTTGTTGTAATTTTTGACACAAAATTTATGTTAAATACGATTAAGCTTAGGTATAAAACATTATAGTATTAAAAAATTAAAGTATCTATTTCCGGTATAACCGGGAGAGCCGCGATTTTGAGAATATTTTAATCCAAATAATTATCATAATTTTTTGTCGCTGACTTCTAAAGTGATAGTACAGCATCCATTCATCTAACACCGTATTTTTGGGCCGCGACTTGTATCCTATGTTCATAACAATATTTACGATTTTATCTGCCTGGCAAAGTCTAGCATATGTAAACAAAATGCAAGCTAAGTATATAACTGTAAAACATGAGGACTAGTAGAAATCTGTTTTCCCTGTGGTTTGTTTAGTGCATTTTTTGTTACCGTTTATCCTCAGTATTGCCGTCACAACAGAGAACAGACAACAGACGGAATGCATACAGTAGAAGATGCTGTTAAGCTCTATACACATAATGGCAAGTAGCTAATGGCTTAAATGGCTTATGGAACCAAAGGCGGATCATTTTGACTTTTTCTGCCAGAAAAGGGATACTACCTGAAAACGATGCAACATGAGATGCTTAAATACTGGTATTATATGGTCACATTTTTTAATGGAATCCTTAGAAGGCGCTATCCATCATGGCGAAACACATTGTGCATTGGATTGGAAATCATGCTCTACTTTATGATTGCTCATCATTTTGAGATGTGACTCAATTTTGGTCATAGTAAAATCATTTTCGTGCTTAGATAATTTTTGTGTTAACGTCCATAGCTTAAAGATGCTTTATGGACAGTTCAACCAAGGTCACTGGTACCTATATCTAAGAGATATAAATCCGTTATAGATATAGAGAAATCGTCATGTATAATATTTCTCAGGTTAGTATATTAACTAACCAAAAACACTAGGAGTGGTAATTGCTAAATAGCTACTGTTGTATACAGAGTGTGAAACTTAGCCAAAAGAATTATAATTGCGGCTCTCTAAATACTATTTCAATGAAGAAGCTTCTCAAGCATGGCAGGTATTGCCAGGAGTGACCACCCAATAAGGCATTATACGCTTCAGCTCGCTAGCCTACAAATAAACATACGAAACCACATCCGATGATCAGTAGGCATAATCAGCAATAATGTATTCCTCTCACCCCAAGTAGGAATTGTATCGATTATAAAAACTAGTTGGGTTGAGACATGGAGATATTCCTCCTCTGGGGGCAGTTGTCCTCAGGGGTCATTTTTTACCATTCTACCCTGTGTGTTGTGTTCTGCAGTGTCAGATATAGCTAATACCTTGTTTATTTATTATATTTATTCAATAGAGTACCTTGTTACGCGGATTTGTAAGATATTCCTCTAACAGTCCTTTGCAGCACACCATAATAATAATAATAATAATAATAATAATAATAATAACGTTTATTCAAAAAATGAATTATTAAGACTACAACTTACAAGATATTGAACATTTATTAGCATTACTTAATAATGTTTGCATACATTCATGATACATGATACGCATAATATTTATTAGATGATTATATAATAATTGTTTGGGCATAACTTTAGCATTCCTAAATTAAGCAGCTTATGGTCTTCCGTGCTTAAAGCCATGCAGGTAGAAGCCTTTTAAATCTTTGATAGAACATAGTTTATTCGAGATCTTGCAGAAGTTGATTACATATTTTGGGCACAAGATAAGTAAAACATCTTTGGCCAACAGTTTTTTGTCTTTTCGGAATAACCAGTTCGATTTCGTTACTTCCAGCATTATACGCATGACTGACATACATTGTTTATGTTGAATCAGTACTAAAGAATGAAATTATAATTGTGTGACATCAAAAAATCCAAATTCTTTATATATAGCTCATCCGATATTCGAGAAGGTTTGTTCATGATGACTTCTAACAACGATTTTTGGAATATCTCAACGTGCTTTTATTTGATGCTCCACCCCATCCAATATTTAAAATTGGTGGGAGTGTAAGTAAGGAATAGTATACAGACTTTAGTTGGTGTTAGCTGAGAAGTCCCTTTGGAAGTTTAAATTTTGTTATAAAGTATCGAAGCTTGTTCAGTAGACTTTTAACTTGTTCATCTCATCTATAGTGGTAATCAATACACTGGGTGTTTCAAATATTCGACGCTCACCATTGGGATCTCGAAAACTATACGAGATACGAAGACGCTTAAATGAGGCAAAGTTGCGTACTTAGATAAGCAATAAAATGCCGGTGAGAAAGTTTCGAAATTCAAAGTGCTTCCGAAGAGAGATGGAAAAAACTGAAATTTTCTTAATTACGTTTGAATTTTTTCCTGACTATATGTAGTAGTATTTCAAAATAACTTGCACAGCCTTGCCACTTTTACTCCTCTACAAGATGGCATAATTAGAATTTCAATATGACGTTTCGTCTCTTATCGTTCATCATCTACTTTACTTTTTCTTACAGACGCCATGTTGGATTCTTGTACAGATGAATAGTGTTTTTAATTCTGTTTCTAAAAATGTATCATACGTCATACATTATTTCAAAAATGCAGAATTTCCTAGGTAAGCCTTGCAATTATCGGATAGTCATTTGTTTCGCCTACCAGACTTATCCCTGAATCACTTTTAATTTATCATGACTTCATTTGAGATAGTATTATAAAATAACATTGCCACTTTTCCTCATCTACAAGATTGCATAATTAGAATTTCAATATGACGTTTCGTCTCGTGTCCTCCACTACAAATTCAGGAAACAATTAAAACGATTTTGGGAAAATTTTTTTTCCGTCTCTCTCCGGGAATATTTTGAATTTCGAAACTTTCTAAGCGGCATTTTGTTGACTACCTAAATACGAAACTTTGCCCCCCACTCAAACGATTTCGTATCTCTTACAGCTTTCGACATCCCAGTGGCGATGAAACACCCTGTATGTTCCTAAATATTTCATAATTGTTTCACAATTTTAAGTATTGTGGCAATACTTCTACTATCAACCCCTGGAATGATTTACTCGTAGATCCGCCCTTGTTTAAAGAAGATCAGCGCGACGAATGTCGACCTGCCCGAACTTGGTCGCCGGTCAGACAGCAACGGTAGCAGCCACTTTGTAAACAAACGAATAACGAACAACAAACAAACAACACACGGTAAGCAGGCAGTCAGGCAGGCAGAGGATGACCAGCAACATGCCGGCTGTCTCGCCCAAGCCAGCCGCAGACTTCCAGATTTTGCAGCTAAAACCCAGCCAGACACCCAGCAAAAACTACCGTCCTCGGCTATGCATAAAACTGAAAAACTCGCTTTATGCAGCGAGTTACGGCACAACACAGGCACCGATGGATGAATACATCAATTCTAACTGGAAATGTTCTTTTAGTCGTATCAAAAGGCAAAGTGGCGATAGTGAAAGAGCTATCACGATTTTTGCATCGAAAGCCACAAACGGTGCACTGTGACTAAATTGTAAGCAAAAAACAAATGACATAACAAAAATTTTCTCTTCTAGTCTCACAACCAGCATCATTGATTAGACTGAAATAAGTTTTAGGATATTTAGATATTTTTATTGAATTCATTGCAACGTTTTAACGTTTCCCATCCACCATTTCATGCACACATGTATACGCTATTTTTCAAGAAAATACAATCCTCCCAGGTTAGAAAACATAAATATGAATTTCAAATTCCAATCAAAGATAATCAGGTATGTACAGAACCCTAATAAGCGTAAAAAAGATAATTTAATGGTAACATAAATACATTAATAGTACCATGCCCATTCACCATTTATAAAAACACTCCATATCAATTTTCATGTCTGGCATAACTTCTAGAACAATTTTCGATGTAGTGCAATGGCATCAAAAAGACGTAGGTTTTGTCAAAACCATTTCGGTGTTTCATGAAAGAAAATTCTCAGAATGCAGCAATGAGCCGTCCGTACACGGTAACAATTTTTTTTTAGCTCTGGTGTAATGCATCAGCAATGTTTGATAACTGATTATAATAATACGAACATCAACTAAATACATAATCTACTGTAGCTAATTTTTGTCCTTTTTTGTCATTTGTATTCTACAGTTTCAACTGAAATTTATTGGTCCATGTACAGGCGATGCCTTCTATTGGGCCTGTTTTGATTTTATATTTATTTACTCATATTGTTTGTTATCTTTGTACATTGAGTGAATAAATATTATTATTATTATTATTATTATTAATAGCTCTTGATATGCACCTATACACTATATACCGGGTGTTTCAAATTCGACCCTCACCATTGGGATCTCTGATATGGTAAGAGATACGAAGTCGGTTAAATGAAGTCAAAGTTGCGCGATTAGGTAGATAAGAAAATGACACTTAGTTGCGCAATTCAGAGTGTTTCAAATGAGAGAAGAAAGAAACCGATTTGTTTTTTAAAAATCGTTTCTATTTTTTACTGACTATTTGAGATGGGATTTAAATATACTAAGTGATATATAAATCCGAACACCCAGTTCAAATGGTTTTATTTTAATAAAATTTTGTATAAGTATCTACTTAATGGAGCATAAAAAGTAAACGATAAACATTTCAAAATGATTGCACTGCTTTAAAGCCCTTTGACCTTTAATAATGTGTGGATGCACCCTGATGTACTACGCATTCTCCAACGCGCCTGGGCATGCTTCTGATAAGGTGGTCAATGTCCTCCTGTGGTATCTCATTCCAGGCAACCACCAACTCCTCTCGATGTGCTTCTAGAGTCTGAGGAGGACGTTGAAAATTGAGCAATCTCCTACCCATCATATCCCACACGTGCTCAATTGGGGATAAGTCGGGAGATCTTGGTGGCCATGGTAACAATGTGACATCATTGTGTTGAAAGAGGTCTATTGTGACTCTTGCAACATGTGGTCGGGCATTATCTTGTTGGAAAGTTGGATCTGCCAGGGTGTCAAGATAGGGTAAAAGATGGGGTTCTAGAACTTCGTGGATATAACGCAGTGCGTTCATGTTACCTCTGATGAAGATTAAAGGTGACCTGGAACCATAAGCTATAGCACCCCAAACCATAACTGCAACAGTGTGATGAACATGTCTTTCAACAAAAAACTGTGGATTCCTCCTTTCACCACGTCGCCTTCTAAACCATTCATTTGCAATGGACCTGGTAGTGGAGAAACGGTCCCTTAAGGCCAATAATCTTAGACGGCGATCTTCACGGTCTGTTGTTCTACGGCGGCGTCCAGTGCCCCTTGCTCTTTGCGTACGGCCTTCTCGAAGCCATGCCTGACAACACCTAACCACAGTGTCTACACTTCTTTGCACTCTAACTGCAATTGCCCGAAAAGAAAGTCCAGCTTCCCGAAGTCCCACTATGCGGCCCCTATCAAACTCACTAAGTTGACGAAATCGTACAGGTCTCCGTACTCTAGGCATCGTAACCGATCGTAAAGGATGTCAAGAACCAAAATCCGCCAACGTTGATTCTTTACTGCGGCTGAAATATTCATTTTTAGAGCGTTAGTGAATTAAAAAAAAGCAGTATAAAAACCGGAATGTCCAACTGATAAGGCTGAAAATTTTTTCACTTGTTATTTACAGTAAGATAAATACATTCACCAACTTTTATTAAAATAAAACCATTTAAACTGGGTGTTCGGATTTATATGTCACTTAGTATATAAATAGTACATTAACATGCTACGTTTCGTGTATTGTCATCAACTTTATTTCTACTCATAGACGCCATTTTGGATTCTCACACAGGTGAATATAGAGTTGCATTTTGATTCCAAAAATGTATAATATGCCATACAATAACAAACCTAAGTTATTTCAAAAAACTAATATCATCGTAGTTGGCTTTGAAAATGACTTCTTATCACATGCTTATGCTTATTATTTTGATACGATGGAGATAATCTACATGACACATCGGCCGTAGATTATACGTTTTTGAACACAAGATGTGGGCATTGGATTAGATGTGAGGGATATGAAATGAGTTTAGTGAGCTGTAACATGGTTGAGGCTTTTACTTACTCAATGTTATTTCAGTAACACAAAATAATAGTTTTAAATGTTTTCTATACGACTCTTGAATAATATGAAAAAATTTGACCATTAAATTTTGTATTCGATGAGTTGAAATCAGCTATTAGAAGATTACTTTTTTAGATATTTTATTATTCCAGTTCATGTACAATATCCCATCTCTAAGATAGTTCACCAACGTCTAGTCCATAGAAACTGGAGGAGCGCTTGGCTGATGATATTATAAAACAAATGTTTGGAATCTAAGGCTACTGGAAACGTTTGATTATTTTTAAAGCCGTTGAGAAACCTATCATAATCTTAAACATACTTTAAGAGGGATTGAAAGCTCTGAAAGTCAGTCAAATTTAGTAATTTTGATACCAAGCACAGCAAATGCTGAGCTAATCCACCTAATACTATCGCTTAAAATTCTAAATAACTGGTAATGAGATTAATACTATTTTACAGTTTTTCCATGCATAGTCATTGTGTCGCCAGACTGGTTGGACTGCTAAAAGACCTTTTCGTTTCTATGATTATCAAAACATATTTCTGTGATTATGAAGGGCTCAAACCTTGTAAAATTTTTTTGAGCCAATGGACCAATTCTAAAAACCACTCCTTAAAACGATACAAAAAGACAATAAAACGACGGAAATAAAAAAAGGTGACATCAAAAAATCCAAACTTACGTTGACAATGTCCCTCGTACGCCACCTCCAACCGCCCCTGTTTCCTCTTCCTACACGCGTTTTTCCTCAACCGGCAAGCGTCCCTGTAGGTACGACCATCGGTGCCACAAACGGGCCCTTTGCTGCTGCCCCTACGACCCCTGTGACCCTTAGGGGATCGCTCGCACTTCGACGTGCACACGCATTTAGGGGCGCCGGCTCGCATCGAGCATTTGCGGTCCGCGGGACATACGACGCCTGTACAGGAGTCTGGAAAGAATGATTTTTTGTTATAATGCCGGCCATTATTATTTTATACTTTTTAAAGAAAGGCGTAAAATGCTAGATTAATCGTACCCACGCCAATATTCCCCTGTTCTTTCAAGCTACTTCATGCCCCATCTGGCGGCGTTCAAATGAAGCTGGATTGGTAAGGTATCTCTAGTCGTTTTCCAGCCATCTCGTGGGCACTTACCACGATACCACCGCAGGAACTTGAGAAAAAGGAACCATGGGCCCCGGCGGGATTCGAACCCGCATCTTTTTACTGCCATGGCACGATAGTACCATGGTAAGTGCTCACGATGTTGCCTCTAACAATCGATCCTGAAACTTGGTCGACAGCTGGTATTGTACACTAATGTTATGGCGGCTCCACGGAATGGACGAGATGAGGGTTTGAATCCCGCCAGAGCGCATTTTCCTTTCTCTCAAGTTGTTGCTAAATGGAAATAGTTCTCATGAAAGTACTCACTTTTGCAGGACATGCACCTAACCCCACCACCCAGCACTCTCCAGAAAAACAAGGTTCCAGAGTCGAGCTCCTCGTCACTGTAAGCCGTCGTATGGGATGGGGAGGCGCAGCACTGCTCCCTGGAGACGCGTTCCTGGAGCAGCTCGGTACACCGGCCGTAAGGGGCCTCCCCTTTGGAGGAGGTAGAGGACGAGGTCATGGAGAAGGGCCCTCCGTGCTGGTGGCTGTTTGCAGAGGCTGCAGACATGGCCGAAGATGAACGGGAGACCATTGCGGACCAGCACGTACCACCTGGAACAACCAAACACCGATGTCAAATGGGATGACATAGTTTTAAAATAGGACCACCTATTGAATCATATAATTGAATTTTTTCAGGAGGCAATAAAATCTGTGTCATTGACAAATAAATTACTTTTAAAATTACTTTTTAGGCTCAATATAGTTTTTTACTTTAGAGAATGAAATATCAATGATGGAAAAAGTTCGCAAACTGTCCTGCACTTACGATGCAGCAAATAGGGTTAGCAGTTTATAGCTAAAGCAAATTAAGTTTACAGTTTATTGCTTATTTTTGAAAATTACACTTACGTTGTTTTAATTTTGCATGTTTTACTATATTTTAGTAGTATATGGAGGTTTTTCTATAAGATCTTAACTTAGCGCTAACTGACGGACACGTTGTGAACTCGTTTCGTAGTTGTACGTGTTGCCTAAACGTCATTAGGCTTCAGTTATCAATGTTTGGCTCTGATGTGATGTAAAATCTGTTTCAGAGATGGAATTACTGAAGGGCTAAGCTATAGTTTGTATACTATAGCTAGAAGGAAACGGTAACGCGTAGCTGCATAGTGAAGATTTGTGTGCTAATCCTGCGTGTAGTTTGCTGAATTTCAAAAATGAGAGATATAAGAAGTAATTATATTCACTGGACACTGTCGAATAACAAGTCATACACATGCTAACAGTAATTACGCACAACGTGGGCGCGTTGGTGATTTCCCGTAATTCTCCTCAAAGTTTTCGAAAACACAAAAAAAAACGTAAAAAATTACAATTTATAGCTTTAAACATAACATGTCTTCAGAATGAACAACATATTAACCTGTGGGGCGCAACTAATAGATATACTACATTGGCAGCATATATCACTGATTGTATACACATACAGACCAATACACATAATCATTCAGATGCAATCTTGCCAATCAACCGACTTTCTTCTCAGAGATGGAAACTAAAGACTACTCGGCTTCACAAAACATATATCATATGTCATTCCTCCATAGATGGACGCTGACAACGATCCTAGTGAGCAAACGTGGGATGACTGTTTGCACCCTAAAAACTACCTAGTCTGTAAGATGACATTCTATAGCTTTTTTTTAAATTCTATATATAATACCCGTGCCGAACGTGTGTTGTTCAAGCAATGAACGTCAAATACGTGGTACTAATTGGAAGGGAACATTTGCAGTAAAAACAGTATGTAGGGAAAATAGACTGGAGTGGTTTTTGAAATGACACATTCAATTTTTATTATGGCTTTTTTGTTTGAAACGTAACTTAATCTAGAGTGTTACTTACAATGATGAGATAAATGCTATATAATAACTCGATATTCAGCATAAATTAGAGACCAAATAGTGTTATATATTTTGAAACACTCCTGAAATCGACAATAAATTGCAAAACGAATAATGTAACTTAGTGCAGGGACATTCAGCAGATCAAAATTTGACTTTGATGAATGCGAATAATATAGTCACGAAGTATATCGGTTAACTTTAATTTTCATAATATGTATGATTATGTATATATCGTAAAATTTCCCATTGCATGTTTGTCCAAGGTGTCTTATAAAAATGATTCTCAAATAACCTTTAAACTACACGGTACAATCCAACCAAATTTTGACAACGAAGCAACCAATTGCGACTCCACAACGTGGTTACCATAACTAATTAAGCTCGTCATAGATGAACTAGCTTGAAATGTAATATTGCTATTTTTATACCCTTTATAACAACGGCTCAACGATGACATTTTTGTTTATCTTCAAACTGAAAAAGGCATGTTTCATATGGATAAAACGGACCCTATTTAATATACACACTGTTTCATCAATTTATACTGGTTCAACTGACCAGATTCCACCGTTTTAAAGATTCGTATTCAGCAACCCGCAAAAACATCAAGATATAAATATTCAAATCACTTAACGACGTTCATTTCTTTTTCTACCAGCCTGTTTTGTAGGAGTATTTTTAATAATTTTCATCAGATTGCTTCATGGTGTGTATAGAGATGACAGAAAAACAACTTTATCAATTTGTTTTGCCAAAAAAGCATTTTTGCATTTTTTCTTCAATCGTAACAGAGACGGACATTTTGATGATCGGTTGCTGTGTGAATCGGTTGGTAGGGCATACGCTTATACTTTTTTATTGTAGAGGCTCTAAACGAGCAGTATTTATGTTTCAATATTTAATAGTTCAGCCAACTTAAAGCAATGAAGCGCTTTCATGCTTAATGGTAGTAGCACAAAGACTGGAGATAGGAAGTTAAGCTGCATAAGGGAGACATGTATTCAGATATTCGCTTGATGCCAATCGTGTCGCCAAGGATGGTGTAGCTCTAGAAAACCTAGTGGGCGTAGAACATGGCGCAGAGCATCTGCGCATTGAAAAATTCCAACATAAAATGTCGCAATCTTTATCTGCATTTCACTCACGTTTGGCGATGCTTTGTAAGTTTATTTTCCCGTGATTTATTGAAATTATCAAATATTTATGAACCTGAAATCCAGTGTCTGCGCAATATACACACGGGAGAGGTTCTCTATGCGCAGCACCTGAAATTCATTCCATCACTTTAGGACACGCGCAGACAGACAAGCGTTCAGCGTTCAAGCCGCGTTCGTACGGCAATCGTTACGAGTTCTAACACAGACAGGAGGCAGTCACGAACATTGCATTCCATTTTACGAAGGTTAATTGTAGGTGAAACATGTATCGATAGTTCGCCTTCAGGAGACGAAGTATTCCTTTTGTGGAGTTTGGAAGAGTCTAATAAGAAAAAAAGATACTGGGTCTATCCAATTAATTGTGAGATAGATGAAAAAGGAGAGTTCAGTGTCCTTTTTCCTGCATTGCTTGAAGATGAAGAACGATTTTTCATTTACTTCCGAATGTCATTAAGTAGTTTTCATGAATTGCATTGTTATATAAAAAAGGAAATAGAGAAACAAGACACCAACTGGAGAAAGGCTATATCCACAAAAGAAAGATTTGCAGTATCTTCCCATTTTTTTATAGTCTGCGTTACTAACAACATGTAAAAACGCATTTTCCTTACAAAACCAATTACTTTTTCTATAGAAGCCAAGGCGACGGGTTCTTTGTATTTCTGACAATAGAACGCAAGAATGCGAGCGTTCACACTGACCAGCGCGGTCTGACTGCTGCTGTATTCGCGCGACTCTATAAAGATCTACTAATTACAAAGAACGTGGAACGCAGAACGCGGAACTCTGAACGCTTGAACGCTTTCTGTCTCCGCGAGCCCTTATCGGCGACATTTTTTAGCATCACCCCACTCCATGAATTGAATATCCTATCTACTACTACTCGTCGTTGCTTCTCAAGGCGGTCCGGAGGACCTGCCTTCAGGTCGACGTCACTGTAATGTCAATGTCTGTCGTCAGTCTGTCAGGTCTGGTGGCCCAGAAACCAGATAAGTTGTAAGGGAAAGGGGAGAGGGAGAAAGAAATGAAGGAACTAGGAGCGAGAAGAGAAAGAAAATGAATTGTTTTATGTAAATATTTGACGTATGATAGATCTAAGAACTGTACTTTATAAGTTTTTTGACTTGCCCTGAACTGAATTTTGGGTCTTTGGTTTTTAAAAACTATAATTCTTAAAGGTCTAAGCATGCATTTAATTTTGTTTTTACAGTGCGAGTCGCGGCCTGGAATGTTTGCGTATCTCCTCGACTGTGTAATCCACTGCCTCACGCAACAAAGGGTTGCTGTGCGATTCCGCTTGCTGGTAGCGCCATTGTGCCATGCCTATGATGTAATCCCTAAAATATTGGATGTCAAGATCTCTATGGATGGTATCGTTTGATACATACCATGGGGCATTAGTTATTGTTCTGAGAGTTTTACTCTGCAGAACTTGTAGTTTACGCATATTTGACTTAGCTAAAAAGCACCAAGCCGCACAGGCGTAGGTTATTGCAGGTCTGATGATGGTTTTGTATATCCGAATCTTATTGACCTAACTAAATTTTGATGTTCTACATAAAATAGGATACAATTGCCGAAATATAATTTGGAATTTAATTTTCAGTTCTTCAATGTGTGACTGCCACGTCATACCCTTGTCGAGTGTAAGACCTAAATATTTGGCTTTGCTAACCCATGGAAACATCCTATCTCTAGTATTTACCAGCAATAGCCATGCGATAACATTGTCAGTTTGACGGTTGTTATCACTTGGCCGTCTGATTTTATTGCATGCCAATTGTACGAACTGTCAAAGCAACTTCAATTCAGCATAAAAGCGCTGTACCGCTGTACCACTTAACGTTGGCTGAGCGCTTCCTATGACAACTACAACCCAGCCATCATAAGTATTTCCGGCTATGTACCCCGGCAATGTCTTGGCAATATCGTCTATAATATAATAATGCTTTTTGTAAAATACAATTATTCTAGAATAAAACAAATAAACATAAAGTACCCGCAGAATGCAGTTGTCCAGACGTATACAATTTCTCATCAGAATGACTACAAAATGAGGCAAGAAATACTGTCGAAGCTGTACGCGACGCGGCAGCTTACATTACTTACATTACATTAAGTAGGGTTCCGATGGTTTGGAAATCTGACAGGTTTATATGAAAATAGGTCAGAAATCTCAAAGATGTGTAGCATTGTTTTTTGGGTTCAATATGCGAGATTGCTATGCTAATATGAAACACCCTGTAGAGACTGCTTAACGGAAACCGTCCCTTTTTCCTTATCGAGAAAAAACCCAATCACTACTAAAGTAATACCTCCAACGTAATGATTTAAATAAAACATGCCCGCACGATTTAACTCTGATAAATCCGGTCTATATCTCATAAATGAGATAATGCCCACTGACAGCTTTATGGCCGTTACCTAGGTTAATAGTGTGGACATAAAGCATATAATGGTAAAATGGGATTTCCTATTTCCACGACTTCTTCTATTTGCCTTTTGCTGCACAAATGCCATTTCGTTGAGAATGGAAGAGATATAAGAAACGTTATTTCATTTGAGCCATTTATTTCTACATG